TGCCATGCCATGCCATGCCCTGCCATGCCATGCCATGCCATGCCATGCCATGCCATGCCCTGCCATGCCCTGCCATGCCATGCCATGCCATGCCATGCCCTGCCATGCCCTGCCATGCCATGCCATGCCCTGCCATGCCCTGCCATGCCCTGCCATGCCCTGCCATGCCATGCCATGCCATGCCATGCCATGCCATGCCATGCCCTGCCATGCCATGCCATGCCATGCCATGCCATGCCCTGCCATGCCCTGCCATGCCATGCCATGCCATGCCATGCCCTGCCATGCCCTGCCATGCCATGCCATGCCCTGCCATGCCATGCCATGCCCTGCCATGCCCTGCCATGCCATGCCATGCCATGCCATGCCCTGCCATGCCCTGCCATGCCATGCCATGCCCTGCCATGCCATGCCATGCCCTGCCATGCCCTGCCATGCCATGCCATGCCCTGCCATGCCATGCCATGCCATGCCATGCCATGCCATGCCCTGCCATGCCATGCCATGCCATGCCATGCCATGCCCTGCCATGCCATGCCATGCCATGCCATGCCATGCCCTGCCATGCCCTGCCATGCCATGCCATGCCATGCCATGCCCTGCCATGCCCTGCCATGCCATGCCATGCCCTGCCATGCCCTGCCATGCCCTGCCATGCCCTGCCATGCCATGCCATGCCTTGCCATGCCCTGCCATGCCATGCCATGCCATGCCATGCCATGCCCTGCCATGCCCTGCCATGCCCTGCCATGCCATGCCATGCCCTGCCATGCCCTGCCATGCCATGCCATGCCCTGCCATGCCATGCCATGCCCTGCCATGCCATGCCATGCCCTGCCATGCCATGCCATGCCATGCCATGCCATGCCCTGCCATGCCCTGCCATGCCATGCCATGCCATGCCATGCCCTGCCATGCCCTGCCATGCCATGCCATGCCCTGCCATGCCCTGCCATGCCCTGCCATGCCATGCCATGCCATGCCCTGCCATGCCATGCCATGCCATGCCATGCCATGCCCTGCCATGCCATGCCATGCCATGCCATGCCATGCCCTGCCATGCCCTGCCATGCCATGCCATGCCATGCCATGCCCTGCCATGCCCTGCCATGCCATGCCATGCCCTGCCATGCCCTGCCATGCCCTGCCATGCCCTGCCATGCCCTGCCATGCCATGCCATGCCCTGCCATGCCCTGCCATGCCATGCCATGCCATGCCATGCCATGCCCTGCCATGCCCTGCCATGCCCTGCCATGCCATGCCATGCCCTGCCATGCCCTGCCATGCCATGCCATGCCCTGCCATGCCATGCCATGCCCTGCCATGCCATGCCATGCCCTGCCATGCCATGCCATGCCATGCCCTGCCATGCCATGCCATGCCCTGCCATGCCATGCCATGCCATGCCATGCCCTGCCATGCCCTGCCATGCCCTGCCATGCCATGCCATGCCCTGCCATGCCATGCCATGCCCTGCCATGCCCTGCCATGCCATGCCATGCCCTGCCATGCCATGCCATGCCCTGCCATGCCCTGCCATGCCATGCCATGCCCTGCCATGCCATGCCATGCCCTGCCATGCCCTGCCATGCCATGCCATGCCCTGCCATGCCCTGCCATGCCATGCCATGCCATGCCATGCCATGCCATGCCCTGCCATGCCATGCCATGCCATGCCATGCCATGCCCTGCCATGCCCTGCCATGCCATGCCATGCCCTGCCATGCCATGCCATGCCCTGCCATGCCATGCCATGCCATGCCATGCCATGCCCTGCCATGCCCTGCCATGCCCTGCCATGCCATGCCATGCCATGCCATGCCCTGCCATGCCATGCCATGCCCTGCCATGCCATGCCATGCCCTGCCCTGCCATGCCATGCCATGCCCTGCCATGCCCTGCCATGCCCTGCCATGCCATGCCATGCCCTGCCATGCCCTGCCATGCCATGCCATGCCCTGCCATGCCATGCCATGCCCTGCCATGCCATGCCATGCCATGCCATGCCCTGCCATGCCATGCCATGCCATGCCATGCCATGCCCTGCCATGCCATGCCATGCCATGCCATGCCATGCCCTGCCATGCCCTGCCATGCCATGCCATGCCATGCCATGCCCTGCCATGCCCTGCCATGCCATGCCATGCCCTGCCATGCCCTGCCATGCCCTGCCATGCCCTGCCATGCCATGCCATGCCATGCCATGCCATGCCATGCCATGCCCTGCCATGCCATGCCATGCCATGCCATGCCATGCCCTGCCATGCCCTGCCATGCCATGCCATGCCATGCCATGCCCTGCCATGCCCTGCCATGCCATGCCATGCCCTGCCATGCCATGCCATGCCCTGCCATGCCCTGCCATGCCATGCCATGCCATGCCATGCCCTGCCATGCCCTGCCATGCCATGCCATGCCCTGCTATGCCCTGCCATGCCATGCCATGCCATGCCATGCCATGCCCTGCCATGCCCTGCCATGCCCTGCCATGCCATGCCATGCCCTGCCATGCCCTGCCATGCCATGCCATGCCCTGCCATGCCATGCCATGCCCTGCCATGCCATGCCATGCCCTGCCATGCCATGCCATGCCATGCCCTGCCATGCCATGCCATGCCCTGCCATGCCATGCCATGCCATGCCATGCCCTGCCATGCCATGCCATGCCCTGCCCTGCCATGCCATGCCATGCCCTGCCATGCCATGCCATGCCCTGCCATGCCATGCCATGCCATGCCCTGCCATGCCATGCCATGCCATGCCCTGCCATGCCATGCCATGCCATGCCATGCCCTGCCATGCCCTGCCATGCCCTGCCATGCCATGCCATGCCCTGCCATGCCATGCCATGCCCTGCCATGCCCTGCCATGCCATGCCATGCCCTGCCATGCCATGCCATGCCCTGCCATGCCCTGCCATGCCATGCCATGCCCTGCCATGCCATGCCATGCCCTGCCATGCCCTGCCATGCCTGCCATGCCATGCCATGCCCTGCCATGCCCTGCCATGCCATGCCATGCCATGCCATGCCATGCCCTGCCATGCCATGCCATGCCATGCCATGCCATGCCCTGCCATGCCCTGCCATGCCCTGCCATGCCCTGCCATGCCATGCCATGCCATGCCCTGCCATGCCATGCCATGCCATGCCATGCCATGCCCTGCCATGCCATGCCATGCCATGCCATGCCATGCCCTGCCATGCCCTGCCATGCCATGCCATGCCATGCCATGCCCTGCCATGCCCTGCCATGCCATGCCATGCCCTGCCATGCCCTGCCATGCCCTGCCATGCCCTGCCATGCCCTGCCATGCCCTGCCATGCCTGCATGCCATGCCATGCCCTGCCATGCCCTGCCATGCCATGCCATGCCATGCCATGCCATGCCCTGCCATGCCCTGCCATGCCCTGCCATGCCATGCCATGCCCTGCCATGCCCTGCCATGCCATGCCATGCCCTGCCATGCCATGCCATGCCCTGCCATGCCATGCCATGCCCTGCCATGCCATGCCATGCCATGCCCTGCCATGCCATGCCATGCCCTGCCATGCCATGCCATGCCATGCCATGCCCTGCCATGCCCTGCCATGCCCTGCCATGCCATGCCATGCCCTGCCATGCCATGCCATGCCCTGCCATGCCCTGCCATGCCATGCCATGCCCTGCCATGCCATGCCATGCCCTGCCATGCCCTGCCATGCCATGCCATGCCCTGCCATGCCATGCCATGCCCTGCCATGCCCTGCCATGCCATGCCATGCCCTGCCATGCCCTGCCATGCCATGCCATGCCATGCCATGCCATGCCCTGCCATGCCATGCCATGCCATGCCATGCCCTGCCATGCCCTGCCATGCCATGCCATGCCCTGCCATGCCATGCCATGCCCTGCCATGCCCTGCCATGCCATGCCATGCCCTGCCATGCCCTGCCATGCCCTGCCATGCCATGCCATGCCATGCCATGCCCTGCCATGCCATGCCATGCCCTGCCATGCCATGCCATGCCCTGCCCTGCCATGCCATGCCATGCCCTGCCATGCCCTGCCATGCCCTGCCATGCCATGCCATGCCCTGCCATGCCCTGCCATGCCATGCCATGCCCTGCCATGCCATGCCATGCCCTGCCATGCCATGCCATGCCATGCCATGCCCTGCCATGCCATGCCATGCCATGCCATGCCATGCCCTGCCATGCCATGCCATGCCATGCCATGCCATGCCCTGCCATGCCCTGCCATGCCATGCCATGCCATGCCATGCCCTGCCATGCCCTGCCATGCCCTGCCATGCCATGCCCTGCCATGCCCTGCCATGCCCTGCCATGCCCTGCCATGCCATGCCATGCCATGCCATGCCATGCCATGCCATGCCATGCCCTGCCATGCCATGCCATGCCATGCCATGCCATGCCCTGCCATGCCCTGCCATGCCATGCCATGCCATGCCATGCCCTGCCATGCCCTGCCATGCCATGCCATGCCCTGCCATGCCATGCCATGCCCTGCCATGCCCTGCCATGCCATGCCATGCCATGCCATGCCATGCCCTGCCATGCCCTGCCATGCCATGCCATGCCCTGCCATGCCCTGCCATGCCATGCCATGCCTGCCATGCCATGCCATGCCCTGCCATGCCCTGCCATGCCCTGCCATGCCATGCCATGCCCTGCCATGCCCTGCCATGCCATGCCATGCCCTGCCATGCCATGCCATGCCCTGCCATGCCATGCCATGCCCTGCCATGCCATGCCATGCCATGCCCTGCCATGCCATGCCATGCCCTGCCATGCCATGCCATGCCATGCCATGCCATGCCCTGCCATGCCATGCCCTGCCCTGCCATGCCATGCCATGCCCTGCCATGCCATGCCATGCCCTGCCATGCCATGCCATGCCATGCCCTGCCATGCCATGCCATGCCCTGCCATGCCATGCCATGCCATGCCATGCCCTGCCATGCCCTGCCATGCCCTGCCATGCCCTGCCATGCCATGCCATGCCCTGCCATGCCCTGCCATGCCATGCCATGCCCTGCCATGCCATGCCATGCCCTGCCATGCCCTGCCATGCCATGCCATGCCCTGCCATGCCATGCCATGCCCTGCCATGCCCTGCCATGCCATGCCATGCCCTGCCATGCCCTGCCATGCCATGCCATGCCATGCCATGCCATGCCCTGCCATGCCATGCCATGCCATGCCATGCCATGCCATGCCATGCCCTGCCATGCCATGCCATGCCCTGCCATGCCATGCCATGCCCTGCCATGCCATGCCATGCCCTGCCATGCCCTGCCATGCCATGCCATGCCCTGCCATGCCATGCCATGCCCTGCCATGCCATGCCATGCCCTGCCATGCCATGCCATGCCATGCCTGCCATGCCATGCCATGCCCTGCCATGCCATGCCATGCCCTGCCATGCCATGCCATGCCATGCCATGCCCTGCCATGCCCTGCCATGCCCTGCCATGCCATGCCATGCCCTGCCATGCCATGCCATGCCCTGCCATGCCATGCCATGCCCTGCCATGCCATGCCATGCCCTGCCATGCCCTGCCATGCCATGCCATGCCCTGCCATGCCATGCCATGCCCTGCCATGCCCTGCCATGCCATGCCATGCCCTGCCATGCCCTGCCATGCCCTGCCATGCCATGCCATGCCATGCCATGCCCTGCCATGCCATGCCATGCCATGCCATGCCATGCCCTGCCATGCCATGCCATGCCATGCCATGCCCTGCCATGCCCTGCCATGCCATGCCATGCCCTGCCATGCCATGCCATGCCCTGCCATGCCCTGCCATGCCATGCCATGCCCTGCCATGCCCTGCCATGCCCTGCCATGCCATGCCATGCCATGCCATGCCCTGCCATGCCATGCCATGCCATGCCATGCCATGCCATGCCATGCCATGCCCTGCCATGCCATGCCATGCCCTGCCATGCCATGCCATGCCCTGCCATGCCCTGCCATGCCATGCCCTGCCATGCCCTGCCATGCCCTGCCATGCCCTGCCATGCCCTGCCATGCCATGCCATGCCCTGCCATGCCATGCCATGCCATGCCATGCCCTGCCATGCCATGCCATGCCCTGCCATGCCATGCCATGCCATGCCATGCCCTGCCATGCCATGCCATGCCATGCCATGCCATGCCCTGCCATGCCATGCCATGCCATGCCATGCCATGCCCTGCCATGCCCTGCCATGCCATGCCATGCCCTGCCATGCCCTGCCATGCCATGCCATGCCCTGCCATGCCATGCCATGCCCTGCCATGCCATGCCATGCCCTGCCATGCCATGCCATGCCATGCCCTGCCATGCCATGCCATGCCCTGCCATGCCATGCCATGCCATGCCATGCCCTGCCATGCCATGCCATGCCCTGCCCTGCCATGCCATGCCATGCCCTGCCATGCCATGCCATGCCCTGCCATGCCATGCCATGCCATGCCCTGCCATGCCATGCCATGCCCTGCCCTGCCATGCCATGCCATGCCCTGCCATGCCATGCCATGCCCTGCCATGCCATGCCATGCCCTGCCATGCCATGCCATGCCATGCCATGCCCTGCCATGCCATGCCATGCCATGCCATGCCATGCCCTGCCATGCCATGCCATGCCATGCCATGCCATGCCCTGCCATGCCCTGCCATGCCATGCCATGCCCTGCCATGCCCTGCCATGCCATGCCATGCCCTGCCATGCCATGCCATGCCCTGCCATGCCATGCCATGCCCTGCCATGCCATGCCATGCCATGCCCTGCCATGCCATGCCATGCCCTGCCATGCCATGCCATGCCATGCCATGCCCTGCCATGCCATGCCATGCCCTGCCCTGCCATGCCATGCCATGCCCTGCCATGCCATGCCATGCCCTGCCATGCCATGCCATGCCATGCCCTGCCATGCCATGCCCTGCCCTGCCATGCCATGCCATGCCCTGCCATGCCATGCCATGCCCTGCCATGCCATGCCATGCCCTGCCATGCCATGCCATGCCATGCCCTGCCATGCCATGCCATGCCCTGCCATGCCATGCCATGCCATGCCATGCCCTGCCATGCCCTGCCATGCCCTGCCATGCCATGCCATGCCCTGCCATGCCATGCCATGCCCTGCCATGCCCTGCCATGCCATGCCATGCCCTGCCATGCCATGCCATGCCCTGCCATGCCCTGCCATGCCATGCCATGCCCTGCCATGCCATGCCATGCCCTGCCATGCCCTGCCATGCCATGCCATGCCCTGCCATGCCCTGCCATGCCATGCCATGCCATGCCATGCCATGCCCTGCCATGCCATGCCATGCCATGCCATGCCCTGCCATGCCCTGCCATGCCATGCCATGCCCTGCCATGCCATGCCATGCCCTGCCATGCCCTGCCATGCCATGCCATGCCCTGCCATGCCCTGCCATGCCCTGCCATGCCATGCCATGCCATGCCATGCCCTGCCATGCCATGCCATGCCCTGCCATGCCATGCCATGCCCTGCCCTGCCATGCCATGCCATGCCCTGCCATGCCCTGCCATGCCCTGCCATGCCATGCCATGCCCTGCCATGCCCTGCCATGCCCTGCCATGCCATGCCATGCCCTGCCATGCCATGCCATGCCCTGCCATGCCATGCCATGCCCTGCCATGCCATGCCATGCCATGCCCTGCCATGCCATGCCATGCCCTGCCATGCCATGCCATGCCATGCCATGCCCTGCCATGCCATGCCATGCCCTGCCCTGCCATGCCATGCCATGCCCTGCCATGCCATGCCATGCCCTGCCATGCCATGCCATGCCATGCCCTGCCATGCCATGCCCTGCCCTGCCATGCCATGCCATGCCCTGCCATGCCATGCCATGCCCTGCCATGCCATGCCATGCCCTGCCATGCCATGCCATGCCATGCCCTGCCATGCCATGCCATGCCCTGCCATGCCATGCCATGCCATGCCATGCCCTGCCATGCCCTGCCATGCCCTGCCATGCCATGCCATGCCCTGCCATGCCATGCCATGCCCTGCCATGCCCTGCCATGCCATGCCATGCCCTGCCATGCCATGCCATGCCCTGCCATGCCCTGCCATGCCATGCCATGCCCTGCCATGCCATGCCATGCCCTGCCATGCCCTGCCATGCCATGCCATGCCCTGCCATGCCCTGCCATGCCATGCCATGCCATGCCATGCCATGCCCTGCCATGCCATGCCATGCCATGCCATGCCCTGCCATGCCCTGCCATGCCATGCCATGCCCTGCCATGCCATGCCATGCCCTGCCATGCCCTGCCATGCCATGCCATGCCCTGCCATGCCCTGCCATGCCCTGCCATGCCATGCCATGCCATGCCATGCCCTGCCATGCCATGCCATGCCCTGCCATGCCATGCCATGCCCTGCCCTGCCATGCCATGCCATGCCCTGCCATGCCCTGCCATGCCCTGCCATGCCATGCCATGCCCTGCCATGCCCTGCCATGCCATGCCATGCCCTGCCATGCCATGCCATGCCCTGCCATGCCATGCCATGCCATGCCATGCCCTGCCATGCCATGCCATGCCATGCCATGCCATGCCCTGCCATGCCATGCCATGCCATGCCATGCCATGCCCTGCCATGCCCTGCCATGCCATGCCATGCCCTGCCATGCCCTGCCATGCCATGCCATGCCCTGCCATGCCATGCCATGCCCTGCCATGCCATGCCATGCCCTGCCATGCCATGCCATGCCATGCCCTGCCATGCCATGCCATGCCCTGCCATGCCATGCCATGCCATGCCATGCCCTGCCATGCCATGCCATGCCCTGCCCTGCCATGCCATGCCATGCCCTGCCATGCCATGCCATGCCCTGCCATGCCATGCCATGCCATGCCCTGCCATGCCATGCCCCCATTCCGCACCTTTCTAGCCCTACCTCGGCCCTCACCCCAGCACCCACTGCCCTACACGCCCCTGAGCCTCACCTCGGCATCAAGAGTCCCACAAGCAGACTCCAGGCACACCTCCAGTGCCCGGAACTCAAAGGGCAGCGCGTTGGGCCCCCGCCATGCCATGCCCACGCCTGCAGGTAGCCCACACCTGCAGGTAGCCCACACCTGCAGGTAGCCCACACCTGCAGGTAGCCCACACCTGCAGGTAGCCCACACCTGCAGGTAGCCCACACCTGCAGGTAGCCCACACCTGCAGGTAGCCCACACCTTACCACCCTTGCTTGCTTTGCTACCTGCTGGCCTGCAGTGCTTGAATGCATCAGCAGGCGTGCCTGGAGCTCCCCCCATCACCCACCCACCCACCTACCCTGGCCACATAAAAGTGCCAAGAGATGTGTGCCGTGCAATGGGAGGGAAACTTGCACGCACCTTGTACCAGCGAGCCTCACCTGGTGGTCTGCAGCGATCAAATGCATCAACAGGTGCGCCTGGTGGAGCTCCCTCACCTGCCCACCCTCTCCCCCTCCACCCACCCACCAACCCACCCACCCACGTGCTCAGCAACGCGACAAATGGAAACATGCACCCACACACCCTGTAACTGCTGCCCTCACCACACTTGGTTGCTTTGCTACCTGGTGGCCTGCTGTGTGGAGGTGCAGCGGCAGGCGCGCCTTGAGCTCCTCCACTCCACCACCCTCGCCACCTGGAAGGGCCGAAAGATGTGCCGTGCAGTGCAGTGCGGTGCAATGGGAGGGAGGGAGACATGGACGTACCTTGTAGCAGCCAGCCACCCACCTGCTGGCCTGCTGTGTGGAGGTGCAGCGGTAGGCGCGCCTTGAGCTCCTCCACTCCAATCCACCACCCGCGCCACCTGGCGCCACATCCACCACCTGGAAGTGCCTCGAGATGTGCCACGAGAGATGTGCCTCGAGAGATGTGCCTCGAGAGATGTGCCTCGAGAGATGTGCCTCGAGATGTGCCACAAGAGATGTGCCTCGAGATGTGCCTCGAGATGTGCCACAAGAGATGTGCCACAAGAGATGTGCCACAAGAGATGTGCCACACGAGATGTGCCTCGAGATGTGCCACGAGAGATGTGCCACAAGAGATGTGCCTCGAGATGTGCCACGAGAGATGTGCCACAAGAGATGTGCCTCGAGATGTGCCACGAGAGATGTGCCACAAGAGATGTGCCTCGAGATGTGCCACGAGAGATGTGCCACAAGAGATGTGCCTCGAGATGTGCCACGAGAGATGTGCCACAAGAGATGTGCCTCGAGATGTGCCACGAGAGATGTGCCACAAGAGATGTGCCTCGAGATGTGCCACGAGAGATGTGCCACAAGAGATGTGCCTCGAGATGTGCCACGAGAGATGTGCCACAAGAGATGTGCCTCGAGATGTGCCACGAGAGATGTGCCACAAGAGATGTGCCTCGAGATGTGCCACGAGAGATGTGCCACAAGAGATGTGCCTCGAGATGTGCCACGAGAGATGTGCCTCGAGATGTGCCACGAGAGATGTGCCACAAGAGATGTGCCTCGAGATGTGCCACGAGAGATGTGCCACAAGAGATGTGCCTCGAGATGTGCCACGAGAGATGTGCCTCGAGATGTGCCTCGAGAGATGTGCCTCGAGATGTGCCACGAGAGATGTGCCTCGAGATGTGCCACGAGAGATGTGCCACAAGAGATGTGCCTCGAGATGTGCCACGAGAGATGTGCCACAAGAGATGTGCCTCGAGATGTGCCTCGAGATGTGCCACAAGAGATGTGCCTCGAGATGTGCCACGAGAGATGTGCCACAAGAGATGTGCCTCAAGATGTGCCACGAGAGATGTGCCACAAGAGATGTGCCTCGAGATGTGCCACGAGAGATGTGCCACAAGAGATGTGCCTCGAGATGTGCCACGAGAGATGTGCCACAAGAGATGTGCCTCGACATGTGCCACGAGAGATGTGCCTCGAGATGTGCCACGAGAGATGTGCCTCGAGAGATGTGCCACAAGAGATGTGCCTCGAGATGTGCCACGAGAGATGTGCCACAAGAGATGTGCCTCGAGATGTGCCACGAGAGATGTGCCACAAGAGATGTGCCTCGAGATGTGCCACGAGAGATGTGCCTCGAGATGTGCCACAAGAGATGTGCCTCGAGATGTGCCACGAGAGATGTGCCACAAGAGATGTGCCTCGAGATGTGCCACGAGAGATGTGCCACAAGAGATGTGCCTCGAGATGTGCCACGAGAGATGTGCCACAAGAGATGTGCCACGAGAGATGTGCCACAAGAGATGTGCCTCGAGATGTGCCACGAGAGATGTGCCACAAGAGATGTGCCACGAGAGATGTGCCACAAGAGATGTGCCACGAGAGATGTGCCACAAGAGATGTGCCTCGAGATGTGCCACGAGAGATGTGCCACAAGAGATGTGCCTCGAGATGTGCCACGAGAGATGTGCCACAAGAGATGTGCCTCGAGATGTGCCTCGAGATGTGCCACAAGAGATGTGCCTCGAGATGTGCCACGAGAGATGTGCCACAAGAGATGTGCCTCGAGATGTGCCACGAGAGATGTGCCACAAGAGATGTGCCTCGAGATGTGCCACGAGAGATGTGCCACAAGAGATGTGCCTCGAGATGTGCCACGAGAGATGTGCCACAAGAGATGTGCCTCGAGATGTGCCACGAGAGATGTGCCACAAGAGATGTGCCTCGAGATGTGCCACGAGAGATGTGCCTCGAGATGTGCCACGAGAGATGTGCCACAAGAGATGTGCCTCGAGATGTGCCACGAGAGATGTGCCACAAGAGATGTGCCTCGAGATGTGCCACGAGAGATGTGCCTCGAGATGTGCCTCGAGAGATGTGCCTCGAGATGTGCCACGAGAGATGTGCCTCGAGATGTGCCACGAGAGATGTGCCTCGAGATGTGCCACGAGAGATGTGCCTCGAGATGTGCCACGAGAGATGTGCCTCGAGATGTGCCACAAGAGATGTGCCTCGAGATGTGCCACGAGAGATGTGCCTCGAGATGTGCCACGAGAGATGTGCCTCGAGATTTGCCACGAGAGATGTGCCTCGAGATGTGCCACGAGAGATGTGCCTCGAGATGTGCCACAAGAGATGTGCCTCGAGATGTGCCACGAGAGATGTGCCTCGAGATGTGCCTCGAGAGATGTGCCTCGAGATGTGCCTCGAGAGATGTGCCTCGAGATGTGCCTCGAGATGTGCCACGAGAGATGTGCCACAAGAGATGTGCCTCGAGATGTGCCACGAGAGATGTGCCTCGAGATGTGCCACGAGAGATGTGCCACAAGAGATGTGCCTCGAGATGTGCCACGAGAGATGTGCCACAAGAGATGTGCCTCGAGATGTGCCACGAGAGATGTGCCTCGAGATGTGCCTCGAGATGTGCCTCGAGATGTGCCACAAGAGATGTGCCTCGAGATGTGCCACGAGAGATGTGCCACAAGAGATGTGCCTCAAGATGTGCCACGAGAGATGTGCCACAAGAGATGTGCCTCGAGATGTGCCACGAGAGATGTGCCACAAGAGATGTGCCTCGAGATGTGCCACGAGAGATGTGCCACAAGAGATGTGCCTCGAGATGTGCCACGAGAGATGTGCCACAAGAGATGTGCCTCGAGATGTGCCACGAGAGATGTGCCACAAGAGATGTGCCACAAGAGATGTGCCTCGAGATGTGCCACGAGAGATGTGCCACAAGAGATGTGCCTCGAGATGTGCCACGAGAGATGTGCCACAAGAGATGTGCCTCGAGATGTGCCACGAGAGATGTGCCACAAGAGATGTGCCTCGAGATGTGCCACGAGAGATGTGCCACAAGAGATGTGCCTCGAGATGTGCCACGAGAGATGTGCCACAAGAGATGTGCCTCGAGATGTGCCACGAGAGATGTGCCTCGAGATGTGCCACGAGAGATGTGCCAGAAGAGATGTGCCTCGAGATGTGCCACGAGAGATGTGCCACAAGAGATGTGCCTCGAGATGTGCCACGAGAGATGTGCCTCGAGATGTGCCTCGAGATGTGCCACAAGAGATGTGCCTCGAGATGTGCCACGAGAGATGTGCCACAAGAGATGTGCCTCAAGATGTGCCACGAGAGATGTGCCACAAGAGATGTGCCTCGAGATGTGCCACGAGAGATGTGCCACAAGAGATGTGCCTCGAGATGTGCCACGAGAGATGTGCCACAAGAGATGTGCCTCGAGATGTGCCACGAGAGATGTGCCACAAGAGATGTGCCTCGAGATGTGCCACGAGAGATGTGCCACAAGAGATGTGCCTCGAGATGTGCCACGAGAGATGTGCCACAAGAGATGTGCCTCGAGATGTGCCACGAGAGATGTGCCACAAGAGATGTGCCTCGAGATGTGCCACGAGAGATGTGCCTCGAGATGTGCCACAAGAGATGTGCCTCGAGATGTGCCACGAGAGATGTGCCACAAGAGATGTGCCTCGAGATGTGCCACGAGAGATGTGCCACAAGAGATGTGCCTCGAGATGTGCCACGAGAGATGTGCCACAAGAGATGTGCCTCGAGATGTGCCACGAGAGATGTGCCACAAGAGATGTGCCTCGAGATGTGCCACGAGAGATGTGCCACAAGAGATGTGCCTCGAGATGTGCCACGAGAGATGTGCCTCGAGATGTGCCACGAGAGATGTGCCACAAGGGATGTGCCTCGAGATGTGCCACGAGAGATGTGCCACAAGAGATGTGCCTCGAGATGTGCCACGAGAGATGTGCCTCGAGATGTGCCTCGAGAGATGTGCCTCGAGATGTGCCACGAGAGATGTGCCTCGAGATGTGCCACGAGAGATGTGCCACAAGAGATGTGCCTCGAGATGTGCCACGAGAGATGTGCCACAAGAGATGTGCCTCGAGATGTGCCTCGAGATGTGCCACAAGAGATGTGCCTCGAGATGTGCCACGAGAGATGTGCCACAAGAGATGTGCCTCGAGATGTGCCTCGAGATGTGCCACAAGAGATGTGCCTCGAGATGTGCCACGAGAGATGTGCCACAAGAGATGTGCCTCAAGATGTGCCACGAGAGATGTGCCACAAGAGATGTGCCTCGAGATGTGCCACGAGAGATGTGCCACAAGAGATGTGCCTCGAGATGTGCCACGAGAGATGTGCCACAAGAGATGTGCCTCGAGATGTGCCACGAGAGATGTGCCTCGAGATGTGCCACGAGAGATGTGCCACAAGAGATGTGCCTCGAGATGTGCCACGAGAGATGTGCCACAAGAGATGTGCCTCGAGATGTGCCACGAGAGATGTGCCACAAGAGATGTGCCTCGAGATGTGCCTCGAGATGTGCCACAAGAGATGTGCCTCGAGATGTGCCACGAGAGATGTGCCACAAGAGATGTGCCTCGAGATGTGCCTCGAGATGTGCCACAAGAGATGTGCCTCGAGATGTGCCACGAGAGATGTGCCACAAGAGATGTGCCACGAGAGATGTGCCACAAGAGATGTGCCTCGAGATGTGCCACGAGAGATGTGCCACAAGAGATGTGCCTCGAGATGTGCCACGAGAGATGTGCCACAAGAGATGTGCCTCGAGATGTGCCTCGAGATGTGCCACAAGAGATGTGCCTCGAGATGTGCCACGAGAGATGTGCCACAAGAGATGTGCCTCGAGATGTGCCACGAGAGATGTGCCACAAGAGATGTGCCTCGAGATGTGCCACGAGAGATGTGCCACAAGAGATGTGCCTCGAGATGTGCCACGAGAGATGTGCCACAAGAGATGTGCCTCGAGATGTGCCACGAGAGATGTGCCACAAGAGATGTGCCTCGAGATGTGCCAC